CCAACACCAATAGCCAACAACAGTTCATAACAACATAATAAAAGTGATAAAGGAAGTGACTCAGAGATAAAATACTCAGCTCGTTCACAGTTCTAGAAAATAGGCATGATTTTCAAATATATCAGTGAAAACCCAAATCTTTTACCGAAATTACCAAACTATGAGTAAGTTTGAAAACTATGATTTTCCCAAAAAACCTTTCAACAATAAATAAAATATTTTATTTTCAGATAGCATGAGAAAAATACATCCTATCCCTACATGTCAATATGTATGTGAAGTCATTAATGACGCAATACGTAAAGTATGAGGAAAATGCATCTCTATGCTTGTATGTCAAGTGTGCATGTCGAATGCGATACAACTCAGTGAATAAACCATTTGCATACTCCCAGAGTATCAATTCACTCAGTCCTCCGAGTCACTCAGTCCTCACAGTCACTCAGCACTCGCTCTTGGTACTCGCACTCGCACTCAGTAGGTACCTGCTCTCATTGGGAATGGGCGGACTCCGGAGTGGCTCCTTCAGCCCAAGCGCTATAATCATCCAATCATGGAATAAATCAATAAAATATGTTGTGGCGCGCAGCCCTATCCCATAAATATCCTCACAATCAGGCTATCGGGCCTCACTCAACCATCAATCTCTCAAGTCTCACGGGCTCACAATGTCACGAAGATCAACCCAAAAATAAAGATGTGATATATCAATAAATGGCAGCAGTGACTGAGATATGATATGCATATGAATGCTTATGACTGAGTATGTAATTGCTATGTAAGCGGATAACTCAACAGCGGAAATAACCTCAGCGGGTCCCAACAGGATAAGCATGTAGCCTAGACATGGTTTCTAAAATGGATCACAGCTCAATATCTCTTATACGTAGAGATTTCATGGTTAAGATCAGGTAACTACACAGTAACACAGACATAACTGAGTCACAATTCACACAGTGCACTCCCGTCACCTAGCATGTGCGTCACTTCAACACCAAACACATAACGTGTAATTTGGGATTTCATACCCTCAGCACCAAGTTTAGAAGTGTCACTTACCTCGAACAAGCCAAATCCAATACCGAGTAAGTCAAGTGATGCTTTAAAAATGCCATCTCGCGCGTACCGATCTCGGAACAGCTCAAAACTAGCCAAAAGTAACTCAAGTACATTAAATAATGCTAAAGAAAATAAATCCAATCGAATAAGGTCGAATTTATAATTAAAAGCCCAAAATCAACCAAAAAGTCAAATCTAGCCTGCGCCTCAGAACCCGATGAAACTCACAAAATTTTGATAACCTATTCAATTACGAGTCAAACCATACTAGTTTCACTCAAATCCGACTTCGGATCGGTGTTCAAAACTCAAAAATGCACTTTATGAAATTTTAGACAAAACCCCCCCATTTTCCTCTTTAAATTCATCAACCAATTGCCAAAAATGAAGATAGATTCGTGAAATATAACCAGAACCGAGTGTAGAACACTTACGCCAATCCACGGGGTGAAAATCGCTTAAAAAATCGCTCCTATCTGAGCTCCATAAGGCCAAATATGCAAAAAAAAAAAAAACCGAAACCTCCGAAATAGAGTACTTTATAATCACTGGCAAATTAATGAGTAGCAATTGCGGAAATACCCACGCGATCGCGAAGAAGAAAGTGCACTGCCCCAGAAAATGCACTACGCGATCGCAAATGAACCTCAGCGATCGCGATGAACAACAACACTGCCTCCACATACACTCAACGTGATCGCATAACTAACACTGCGGATGCGAAGAAGGACCCAACCTCTACCCAGCTCAGCTCAACTCACTATGCGAACGCGTGCACACTTGCGCGAACGCGATGCTCACTCTGCAGCAACCTACGCGAACGCATCCGAGGACTCGCAAACGGGATGAAAAACTTCTCCCCATCCATCAAACTACCCTACGCAATCGCGATCCCGATTAAGAAAACCAAATGCCCATAACTCAGCAGAACCAGCAAAGCAAAAATAAAGGTAAACGGTTCGAAATCAATCTGAAACACGCCCGAACTCCCCGGGACCCCCTCCAAACATACCAACAAGTCCTGAAACACAAGACGGACCTACTAGATGCCTCTAATAACACATAACAAAATTGAAACCACGAATCGTACCTCAAATCGAACTTAATAAACTTTGAACTTTTCAACTTCCAAAACTCGTGCCGAAATATATCAAATCAACTTGGAATAAACAAATTTCGCACACAAGTCCCAAATGACGTATTGAAGCTGTTCACTTTGCCTGAACTGCAATCCGAATTCGATATCCTCAAATTCAACTCTCGTTCAAACTTATGAACTTTCCAAACCTTCAAATTTTCAATTTTTGCCAATTAGTGCCGAAACCTTCTAGAAATATCCAAATGCAAATTCGGGTACGCCCGAGTCCAAAATCACCATCCGGACCTAGCGGAACCATAAAATCTCCAATTCGAGGTCAAACACTAAAAAGTCAAACTTGGTCAATCTTCCAGCTTTAAAGCTTCCTAGTTGAGAATCATTCTTCCAAGTCGATTCTGAATAACCTGAAAATCAAAACAGACGATTCACACGAGTCATAATACATCATACGATGCTACTCAAGACTTCAAATAGCTGAACGGAATGCAAATTATCAAAACAACCGGTCGGGTCTTTACATTTTCCCCCACTTAAACATGTATTCATCCTCGAACGTGCCAAGAATTGTTCCAAAGCCGTCAAACCGTCGTGTAACCTTACCGTGCACATACTCGGGGGTGATCCCACGTCACCCAATCTATGTAAGCCTGGCAACACAACATAACTGAAGTTCCTTAATCCAACCTTAGCCCATAAACCTTAGAATCTAATTTCCATCATCCAGAATTTCCTATAAGACCCGAATATCGCATCTACACACTGTATAAGTCTGAACAAGTTGCATCAAGACATAACCATAACCCAAGACATAATCACATGATATACTACATAACTCAAATACTTATAGTAATAACTTTCGACTATAATAGCTGCTCGATAACAACCCCGACACCGATAACAAACCCTTCAACTAAAATCTTATTCTAGACCTTTGTACACTGCCGATGATGAAACAAACACGCAGAAACTCATAACCACTCATCAGATCAACAAGTCATGAAGTTCTCTCTCGTCCGACAGGAACCAACCAAGTCCTAAGCCGACTTCCGATATTATTCTTCCATTCATACTGTAATCAAATTTGATAGCACTCACTTCAGGCCCAAAGACTTTATCTCATCAATTACAAGCCACTCTACTAATATGCCACACCAATACTACCCAGGGCCACAATCCGTGCAATCCGTGCACCAATACGCGACAATTCAAATGCTCCCAAAAATGGAAGATGACTCAAATGAGAGAACTGTCGCGTAACTCAACATGTAAAACCACAACGCAATGCTAAGAAACCATCACACATAGTAGGACCAAGAAACATGAATCTAAAACAATGGACCATATCCCTACATGACTTCACTACAATGCGTGACCCTATCCAAACACCGGTCCAGATGCAACACCTCAAGCCACCATGCTCAAAATCAACAATTACACGCAATTTGAAACCGAATACACGAAGCGTATGACCATAACCATGGAGAATCAAATAACACAATACCACAACCCGTGCAATCCGTGCACCAATACACAACTTGAAGACTGCTAATTCTTCAAGTTGAAGTTTAAAAACCCACGCTCTTCAAGTTAAAGCGTCAAAGTCCATCAAATCTTCAAGTTCGTCAAACCTTCATGTTTTTCGGTCTTCAAGTTGAACTCTGCAAGTCCACCAAGTCTTCAAGTTGAGGCTCCATAATTCCAATCTTAAGATGGACGTTTAAATCCCTTTGAACTTTAAGTCCCTTTGCACCTGAGTTGGCCTCTTCATGGATTTGATCCATCTATATGCTGTCATGGATTTGTCCTCCCATATTATATTGAAGATTTGTCTTTCTATTTGTTGCCATGAATATTTTCATCTATATGCGCCTAATATTATTGACCAAGATATCTTCATTTCCTACAAAAAGAAGACAGCAAAAAGAACACAATTATAAGAAAGAAGGTTACCTGCCTAGGCGTGTCAGATTCAATAAAAGAGTTCATAGTATTTCCTAGAAATATTCAGCATGATTCGAGCCATAATATTTTGTGAGAATGAAGCTCTCCGGGTCTAGTTTCTAGCAATCAAAACAGTTTTTAATTCTGAAATTCCAGCATCAAGATACAAAAGTTTTGGTGAAGCCGCGATAATCTGAAACTGTCGACGCGTTAGAATTTATGGTCGACTTCAAGAAAATCATCTGAAACCACTACCAGAAAATAGGCCTATGGGAACAGTTGTTCTGGCAACGGTTATAAAACCATGGCAATAGAATAGAGACGGTAACGGTTACAACCGTTACAATAGAATTGGATGCAATTGGCACACTTTAGATACCAAACCGTTCCAGTTGACACTGAACCGTTACCATAGGTGTTTTTTATAGGAACGGTTGCATGAACCGTCCCAATAACCCTAGTTGTAGTAACGGTTTTAGAATTTTGTATAATATTGGAACGGGTATTTTGTTCCCTCCTCGTTTTCCCCCCTAAATTATACTAAACCCGCCAATATAACCCCCTTTTTCTTTTATTTATTATATATTTTATTTTAATAATTATAATAGGGAAATTAAAATTGCCAGATTCCCAGTCGACACTTCAATTCCAAGGGCTCTCAGACGGTAACTTCTGCAAACTAGCTCTTTGCTAACCAAAAATTCCAAATCGTGGGTGAACGAAGGATCTGAAGAACAGGTGATTATATGAAACCCATGTCCTAACTCCTCAATTCCCAAATCCCCAAATCCATTTTTAAACCAAAAATACCCAGATTTTGATTGCTAACCCAAAACTCCCAAATCCCCAAAGTCCCAGAATCTATTTTTTCACTCGAAGGATCTGAAGAACAGAGGAACAGATGAAGAATATTTCAATCGCCAGCAAGTTTCGATCCAAAAGGCAATCAGTGAGAAAGCAACTTCAGGTAATTTTTCTTTTCTAATTTGGGCATTATCTTCTATAATCGTTCTTTTTTTTCATGTTGTTTGTTTGGTATGCTGCAGACTGCAGCCATGTACATTCATGCTGATCTTTTTATTCTGAAAATTTTCCAACTTGTTTGCTGGTTGTTCTTTAACGTTATTTTATTAAGTATTATGTATATGTCGATTGCTAGAAAACCTTTTTCTTATTGCTGGGATTTGCTCCATTGATGATTAGAGTGTGTCAAGCACTGTTCCATAATTCATGTTCGTTAATGAAAAGGATTACACTACCTGAGATATTCCGGGTATTCTTTGTAGTTCTGTAGCACTTCTTTGTAATAGTGTTGTTTCAAGCCGCTAGAACATTATCCTGCTATTTTTTGCCTCTGACACCCTTTCTGTTCGTGTGTGCGCGGGCATGCCTGTTCGGCCAGTGTATAATTAATTGAGAATTCTTCTAGTGTAAAATTAATTGAGAATACCGGATGTCTAGTTACATAGACTTTTCCTTTAATCTAGAATCGTGTATGCGTATTTTTAGCTGTTTGAGTTTTAGTTTCAACTATTTAAATGATTTGGTAGTAAGTCATGACGTTGATAGTTTTGCAATATCACTAAAATTAGACAACTTCCTTTATTTTCTTTTTGGCTTCAAATTGGTCTATTTGTTCTTTTTTGTTCAGATCTATTTTTTACTCTTCCATTATGGAAAAACAATGTTCACGCGATACAGTTTACATATTTGAAAGAACAATTTTTCAACCATGTTTACTCCATAAAAAGTTACAAAACCTTTCAAGAAAATTCTGACGCTCTCAACCATTCCTATGCGAAACGGCTATGGGGATTTGAATTTAGCTTTGTGGTTAAGGCTGTCGAGCCCAATAAAAGAATCTCTTGAAAGAGAGCTCTCTCACCCAGCTCAACAATAGAAATCCCAAGGCAGACCCTATTGGGACCATGACCATCCAAATAATTAGTTGGCTGTTCAATGAAAAAGTTTTATATGAAATACTAATATGGTTTTATATGGAGCTTTTTACAATTATTATAAGGATGAAAGCATAAACTATCAAGTTCATATCCTTATCAATAAAATTATAATGACTTGGGACCAGATGGCTGTTGAATATTGGTAGTATAGCACATAGGTGGCTAATTAAATTTTGTCTATTTTGGTTGAGATCATTTAACAATTCCCTGCTTTTTAATAGATAAAATCTTGTCTTTGCCAAAGAAGGGCATAGCACTAATTGAGAGTATGCATTGTGGGTCTAGAAATTGAAAACTAAGGCTATGTATTTGCTCAGCAAAAGGAAATTAAATCATTTTGAAAATCTGCGTCATTAATCATAATTACTGTAGCATCTAATCATGTTTTCAAGCATCAAATATGTGTGATGTTCGTGATAATATAGACTTTTTGCTTCAGGTAAGAGTATGTAGTCATATTTTGTTTGATCAGGTGAGACACATTAAGGAAGTTATATATGGTTGAATGCAATAGAATTCTAAGGGAATTATGTTAAGTCTCAGCAAATAATATTAGGTTAAAAGAGTTGGTTAAGGTGCCATAATTCATGAGATCATAAATTTGATTCATCACTGAATTTTTGAAGTCTGAAGTAGAGAAGCTCTCAGTTAGGAATCTTCCTATTTAAGGATTATAGTCTCTAATGGACAATATGCACCAGTGTGGAACTCAAGCATGAGTTAACACTGTTTCCATCACTAGAATTGCCTACTTGGATGTGACAGAACAATGGGTATGATCGCATAGCATGTTAGTCTTATAGAATTGTGAATTGTGTGTACTGTGTTTGAATTGTACATAAGCAAATGGTCTTGAGATTGGTTCTTATCCTGTGTGTACTGTGTTTGAATTGTGAGAGTACTATTGAAATTGTCAAATCTACTGGTGTTACTCAGCTCTTCTTCAATCATTTATATGGTCAGTTCTATTTCTCTGCAAAAATGAATTCCCTTTTATAGTATTTATTCTGTTTGACTTGATTATTCTTTTCTTATTTTTTATGTTGTTGTTTAAAAATTTAATATATTGTTATGGGATGGCTTTAATTGAGATTGGTGCTTGTTGTATGTCCCTTAAGAGTAAGATAATGAATTGTCTTCTGTGTAAATAATAAATTAATCCTAATTAACTAATGAAAGTTAGGTACAGTGCTTGTATCAGAATCATAGTAATCTGGATGGATTTGTTGTACTAAACATATTACATATCCTTATTATTTGATATAATAGAAACAAAAAAGGTATTGCTAAACATTTGTTGTACTAAACATATTACATATCCTTAAAAGCAATGGTCAATGTCAAATTAATATGCTTTTGGTTTATTTGTAGTTTTGTTGATTTACTTTTATCGTATAGGATATCTATGGATAATGGTGATAAAAGTTGGATGAATCTCCTGAGATGGACAGATGAGTATATCCGTGGAGTGAATGATTTTCTCGATAAGGCATTTGAGCGAGCCGCCCAAGGAAATGAAATATTATGCCCTTGCAAAAAGTGCATGAATCGCTATTGACATTATAGAAATGTGGTGGAGGAACATTTGGTTGTTCATGGATTTACTAAAGGTTATACCAAATGGGTTTTCCACGGGGAAGGATTTTCCTCGAGAAATACACCTCATCCAAGCAATGATGATGAAGAATCTACCATCCGTGACGAAATTGATGGACTACTTCATGATACATTTAGAAATATAGAGGGTCAGACAGGGGATGAAGAAGGAGTTGGGGAAAGACTATCTGAAGATGCAAAGAAGTTTTTCAAATTACTGGAGGAAGGAAAACAAGAGTTATATCCGGGGTGCGAAAATTTCAGTAAACTGAGTTTCACTATTTGGTTGTACTTGCTTAAATCCTTGCATGGGTTGAGTAATGTGGCTTTCTCAGATTTGTTAGAGTTGCTAAAAGAGGCATTTCCCTTTGCTCAGGTACCAGAATCTTTCAACAAGGCTAGAAACATGATAAAAGATTTGGGTCTTCATTATGAAAAAATACATGCATGCCCTAATGATTGCATGTTATTTTGGAAAGATAAAGCGAATGTCGATAATTGCTCTATTTGTGGGTCTTCAAGATGGAAGAGTGCTGGTCCTTTGACTAAATCAAGCTCTAAAATTCCTGCAAAGGTTTTAAGGTACTTTCCTTTAAAGCCTAGGCTTCAAAGGATATTCATGTGTCCTGAAACGGCTGCTGCAATGAGATGGCATGCTAATGAACGACCCAATGATGGGAATATAAGACATCTGCTGATGGGGAAGCTTTGAAGGCTTTTGATTCTTTGCACCCAGACTTCTCTAGAGATCCTCAGAATGTTAGATTGGGTCTTTCAAGTGACGGTTTCAATCCGTTTCAGACTATGAGCATTTCTCATAGTACGTGGCCTGTTATGTTAATGAACTATAATTTATCACCGTGGATTTGCATGAAGCCAGAGTATATAATGTTGTCGATGATCATTCAGGTCCATCATCTCCGGGAAATGATATAGATGTGTACCTACGACCATTAATTGAAGAATTGAAGGAACTATGGGAAACTGGGATAGACACATTTGATGCTGAAACCAACCAAACATTTCGAATGCGTGCTGCCTTATTGTGGACAGTTAGTGACTTTCCAGCATTAGCAATGCTTTCAGGATGGAGCACTAAGGGGAGATTAGCATGCCCCACTTGCAATTATGACACATGTTCTCAATATCTCAGACATAGTCACAAGATGTGTTACTTGGGCCATTGAAGATTTTTACCTCATGATCATCCATTCCGAAGAGATAAGAAGTCTTTTGATGGTAAGGAGGAGCATAGACCTACACCTGCTCCCTTGTCGGGTGAAGAAGTGTTTGAAGAGCTGCTTGAATTCAACAATATCTTTGGAAAGAGCACTAAAAAAAGGCCTCGGAGTGATAAGGGTCCGTGGAAAAAGAGATCCATTCTTTTTGAATTACCATATTGGATGCATAACAAATTGAGGCACAATCTTGATGTGATGTACATCGAGAAAAACAGATGTGATAGTTTGCTTGAGACTTTATTAGAAGTAGATGGAAAATCAAAGGATCATGAAAAATCTCGCCATGACTTACAAGAAATGGGGATACGAAAGGAGCTACAACCAAGAATAAATAATGATGGAATTATAAGTGTGGCTAAATCTTGTTTCTACATGGAACCAAAACAGAAAAGTTTTTTTTGTACTGTCTTGAAAAATGCTAAACTACCAAAAGGGTGTGCTTCGAATATTTCAGAACGCGTGCAAGTGAAAGAGATGAAAATATCAGGGTACAAGAGTCATGACGCTCATTTTATAATGCATTACTTGCTCCAGGTTGCTGTTAGAAAAGTATTGCCCAAGAATGTTGCATTGGCCTTGATTAGGTTGGGAAATTTTTTTAGAGCTATATGTAGTAAGGTCATAAGGCAAAGAGATCTTGAAATAATGCAGTCTGAAATTGTTGAAATAACATGCGAGCTTGAAAAGATTTTCCATCCAACATTTTTTGACATAATGCCACATTTGCCTATTCATTTGGTGAATGAAATTAAGCTTGGGGGTCCGGCTCATCTCCGTTGGATGTATCCCATTGAGAGGAACCTATGTAAGTACAAGGCATTTGTACGTAATCGATCTAATCCAGAAGCGTCAATAGCAGAGGGGTTTGTGGCCGATGAGTGCTTGACTTTTTGTTCGAGATATCTACATGATGGTGTTAAAACAAAATTTAGTAGGTACCAAACTGTGGATGATGAGTGCTCTCAAAATTTGTCACCTATATTCCCTAATAATGGCCATCCAATTGGAAGTAAGAAAAAAAATACTTTTCTCATGAATTCGCAGTTATGCTTTGAAACACATCGATATGCTCTGTTCAATACTGGAGATGAACAAATGGAAAAGTTTATCGAGTAAGATAAATTATATAAACATTTATATATTTATTAAATTTTTGTATTATAGGATTAAAATTGAAATGTTCTTGATTGCAGGGAACATAAGAATTTAATTGTTATTCATAGTAGATCAAATGCATGGGTAAGAGTGAGGGATCACAGTCGCGAATTCAGCAATTGGTTTAAAGAGAAAGTTAAAAATATTGTTGTGCCAGATTATTTAAGATGGCTAGCCAAAGGACCTAATATGGTAGCCACAAGATATACGGCATTTTTTATTAATGGATACCGATTTCATACAAAAGAACGGGATTCCCGATGCAAGACTCAAAATAGTGGAGTGACTTTATCGGCAACAACAGATAGTTTTGCTAGTTCTAGGGACCAAAATCCGATCGATGGTGAGGTTATCTATTATGGAGCGATTCAGGATATAATTGAGATTGATTATTGGGGTTGTTTTAGTGTTGTATTGTTTAGATGTGATTGGTTTCGTAATGAAATAGATGATTATGGGTTAACTCGGGTGTATTTCAATAGATTATGCAGTAGAGATGACCCTTTTGTATTGGCATCACAAGTTTATCAAGTTTTTTATGTGGAGGATCCAACTGAGAAAGATGTTTATTATGCGAGGAGCAAAGTACCTGTTGATTTGTATGATCTAGAGGAAGAGAACTGTCCTAATATTGGAGACACATTTTGGAGGGAACCTAATAATGACATTGGTTCCTCATCTAGATTACTTGATGCTGACATTAGATGGTCAAGAGAAGATGTACCCGTTGATATCATTGAAACTCCATCTAATGCACAAAATTCACATGATACAATGGTGGAAACATTGGAAGAGGAGGATGAGTTTGATGATACTAATTGGGACTGGATGGAAGCAGATGATTAAATAAAAAAATTCTGAAATCTTTTATGTATATTCTTTTTTGAGTGAGTGATAATGCTTTTTTTAATAAATATTTTATGATTATTTTTGTTTATTTCCTTTATAAAATTATTCTGACATGCTTCAATTTTGCAGGAGAATTCAGATACTTTTATTCGGTTGTTGAGGCCTGTCCCTTCTCCAACGTCCTCTTCTGGTTCAGCTGTCCAAGTCTTCAAGTGTGAAACTCATCTGGTAATTTCTATCCTCCATGAAATTATAGCAATATTATAGCTAATATAAATGATATTTGGTCTTCACTATCATGCGGGTTGCTCAACATTCTAATTTGGTAGATATCACAATTTGAGTAATTTGGGAAAAAAGTGTAAATTTTATTGTCTCTTGAAATCTTTGGTAGTATGCAATGTCTGCGTCTATGTATTTATTCCTGGAAAAAAGGATCCAGGAATAATCAGCTCTGTTTTGTGAAATGGTTGACTGTTTACTTGTGGATATTGGATAGAGGTTCGGAAAATCAGCTTGCAATGTTGAGTCCCCCAGCCATTTATCTTCCCAGAACCTTATTTTTGCTCCGTTGCCTACCTTAAACTTGCATCGGTGATAAAACTCTCCCTAGCTTGCTGATATACTTCCAAGGTCCTACTCCATATGGTGATCTAGCAACCTTGGTACTCCAGTGATTTTTATTGCAATTAACCAAGTGGAATTTATGAGTTTTGCTGCTTCCTTCCCAAAGAAAATTCCTCCTGTATTTGTCTATCTACTTCAGCACCTTTCCGGGGATGGGAAATAAAGACATAAGATAGATGGGAAGGCTATCCAATACACTATTGATGAGTGTGAGTCTCCCTCCCATAGAAAGGTATTGCATTTGCCAGTTAGCTAGTCTTTTTTTCAATTTTTTCAGTGACTCCATTCCATATATCAGATGACTTGAATTTTGCTCCTAGTGGAAGCCCCAGATACATAATTGGTAGTGTGCCAGTACTACAGTAAAGAATGTCAACCAGGCCCTCCATATTAAAAACATCATTGACAGGATAAATGACACTCTTCATCATATTAATGTGCAAACCTGAAAGAGCTTCAAAAATAAGCAAGGTCAGATTTAAAAACATAATTTGTGTGGCATTTTATAGCTTATAAATGAGTATTGGCATTTGGAACAGATAAATTATTTACTTTTTCAGTTTATCATTTGATGATTTCCGATAATATGATCCTCCCTGTCTACTAAGGGTCTTTTCATTTTAATTTTTTGATTCTCCTTGTTGCATCACTCAACAATTTATGAAATTGTGTAAGTGTTAACATATTTCAGTTTTGAAAGGGAATGCTTTTGTTAATTGCAAGGAGATTTAGGAAAAGCTTTTTAGCTCTAACATAAGTCAGTTTTCTGGCGTTAAATCGCATCCGCTTTTCGTTAACAAGGAAACATATTGTATATATTAACCTATATTGTGTTTGCTTTGCTAACCTATATTGTGTTTGCTTTTCAGAATGTGAAAAATATTTGAATAGTCATGAATCAAGAAGGGTGCTCAAGCAAATATAAGAAAATATCCAACCGCATTCCAGCTGGATCACTTGCATCTTTGCGATATCAAAGGGTTTCGTCGTTGACAACAAAAAGAACCTTCCAAGCTACAAGGTCAAATGCAAATGAAGAACGACAATCAGAAGGTGGATTACCTTCATCTTTGCGAAACCAAAAGGTTTTGTCGTTGACAACAAAAACAGTCTTGAAAGCTATTAGGTCAAATGCAAATGAAGAACGACAATCCGGAGGTGGATCTCAATTGCAAGAACAAGTGCAGCAAGTGACACATAATTGTACCTCTTCAGCAACACAAGGAGTACATGAACAAGTGCAACAAGCGAATATGGATTCCATCACTTCTGCATCACAGGGAGTACATAAACAATCTAATGATTCTACCAATCATGAAGCAATTGAACAATCTTAGGAACAAGGCAAATATATATAAATTTTTATCATAAACTTAACTAAATATAGTGATTAATGATTATCTTTGTTTTGTACTATTGCAGGCCCCTCCTCGCCAAAAAGAAAAAGAGGCCGCACTCAAATGCCAAGTTTTCATGTTAGAAGGAGCGTAAAATAATAATTCTAAATGAGTTTAATCAACCCGTTGGTCCTACTAAAGAGGTTGTAAATGAGTTGGGTAGCTTCCTCGGCACATTGGCAAGGAGTGGGACTTTTTGTCCTCTTAATGTATTTAATTGGAGGAAACTAGACACAAAAGATGACATGTGGAAATATATCAAGGTATGAAGTTCCCAATGTCCAATAAACATGGATGATATTTCTTATTTCTTACACTAACCCAATTGCACTAAATTTGTAGAAAAAATATGACATTCCTGACAAGGCAAAAAAATAGGTTTTTGAAGCAGTTTGTAGTTCTTGGAGAAAGTATAAGAGTCAATTGAAGGCAACCCACTTCACAGCCTATGAGAATGATGAGCTTCGAATGGAGAATAGGCCATTAGATGTTCCGGAATCTCACTTTAAAGATCTTCTTAAATATTGGAACTCCGATCCTCACAAGGTAATTACAGCACTGTTATTATGATTGCATACTTGAAACATTTTGAGTGGAATGTTATCTAACGAGGCATGATGTGTTGCCTATTTGGAGTTATATTGATAGCTCTGAATCTCATGCTTAGCCTTTGGTAGTTCCTTACTCTTGTATCTCAGATTCACCATGTGTATAGGTCCTAATACATGAATCGCTTGCATAAGGTTTAAGACATGAAGTTGACACTTGTTTAGGAAGAAATCTAGAATTGGATTGATATCCCACCAGCAGATCTTTTACAAAATTAGATCATCGAAATTATTTATACATTCTTATTGAAAAATTGTCATATATGCTTAACATATTTTAGCATTTACAGCTTGCTCCCCGCTATGGTTTGGACCTTTTGCTTGCTTAGAAGTTGATTCGAAACACTGACACATGGATCTTTAGTCCTTTGTATTTCTCTTAATGTCATTACCCTAGTACCAAAATATGCATTATTTCAAAAGAATTGCAGTAATTCCAACAGACATCTTATAGAACATACTCTTCTGTTTATAGACAATAAGAATTACCAGAGTTCCTAAGAGTCCAGGCATCCATTTCCAAGTCTGTCTGCTTATCTTTGTATGTGTCATGGATACAGAAACCAACAACTTGTTCCAAATCATTTTACAAATTGTCTTGTGATCCGAGCTTGCGAATTTGCACATTTCTCGTGCTGTAAAGAACAATCTTGCATCATTTTTCTTGTGTTTAATTAGTTGTACTTTCTTGATTTTCTGATCATGGTAGTGAAGAAGCGATTGTGAGGAAAATCAGCACTAATTTTGCAAACTATATGCCTGAATTTACAGTGGCCGGCTCTTGTCATGGACTACTGTGCATTCATGATCTTGATGCACTCTATGTTTACAATCATGTTACAAATAACTACAAAAAGATGCCTATGTCAATAGATTTTGTGATGGTAGAATTGATTTTTGGATTTGGTTTTAGTCCTGTACCAAAGAGTACAAAGTGATCAAGATCGCATATAATGATCACCCTTGGTGGTGTCCAGGCTGTACTTCAGTAGTTGATGAGATATTTGCTGAAGTTCCAAAGGTTGATTTTAATGTCGACCAAAAAATTAGCAATTTCTTCTAGCAGTTCTCTGAGATTGTTGTGATATATAATGTAGTGTTGCAAGTCACATCATGCATGAGGTATTGCCTCGCCACTCATCAGAAAGAAAATGAAACAAAAAAAGACAAGAAAAAGAAAATGCAACCAGTATTTTAATCTTCTTGTCCTCTCCCTTTCACCCTCTCTGTTTTTCTACTTTTCCTCCCTTTTGTAGTCTGGTATACTGCTATACGAAAACAGAGAAATTGATTCTAGTGAATGAATGTTGTTTGAGCCTGCACATAACAGGTTTATAAGTTCAGCTCATTCACAAATTGTAAATAGTTGTCGAGTTACTTCAACATGTATTTCAAGAAGTGGTTCTATTGTGAAAAAAGGTAGAAGCAGATAACTCCTTGTTGCATTATAATACGAGTGTTGTCGAGTTAGCAGATAACTCCTTGTGGCATTATAAATATTTGTCGAGTTAGCAATTAATTTGCTTCTTTGTTTAATAATATGAGTGTAGTCTTCGGTGATGATGTGGGTAATAGGCATAACTGTTGGTTGCTATTTGGTTGACTCGTTTATTTGCAGAAAATGTCCGAAACCAATACAGAGAATCGAAATAAGTTGAAGTGTCCACACACTGCTGGCAGAACACCTTTTGCTTTAATTCGCGAGGTTTGATATTTTATCTTTCTTTTTGTTTTTTTAAAATTATGAACTTGTTAACTTTATATGAAAAGATTCTTATACCTGTTTTCATGTAACTAGGAAAAAAAGAAGGAAATCTCTGATACTTCAGATACTGTATCAAGTAAGGACATTTTCGTGGCTACAAGAACAAGAAAACTTGGCCGAGTATACAAAAGCTCATATGACAATACGATTAGTAAAATTGTACGAAATTTCTTATTTAAATTTTGTCGTGCTTATTTATTTTTTTCTTAATTATTGATTCAACTTTAGTTACTTAAAACTCTTTTTTCTCGCATTTTTGGTTTGTAGGCGAAAATGGAGACAATACAATCCACTCAGAAGAGTGAAGATGGCAGTCATTCAGTTGACGCTTTCGCATCAGTCCTGGGACCTGAACATCCAGGTCGCGTGAGATTGTACGGACGAGGGGTTACCAAGACTGTGTTAGAAGGGAAAAAAGGGAATCTTGGATCTTCTTTAGATGCTGATGAGAGGATGGAGCAGAAAATAGAGGAAATGGAAGAGAGGATGCAATAAAGAATGCATCAAAAGTTGAACAAACAAAAGGATGCTATGGAACAAAATATTACAATGAACGTCATCGCACGACTTCAGCGTCTGAACCCAGATTTGCGACTTGAT